AAAGGTTGCTTTAGTTGTTTTATAACTAAACAATTAGTTATTTTATAACCAAAGCAACAATTTCTTGTGCGATCCTGTTGGATCTCTGTCTGGTTGCTAGTTTCTCTGAAAGAGAAACTTGAACTTCTATCCACAGCAGTATAACTCTCTCTCTTTCTGTCAGTGTCTTCTACTCTCTCACTTCCTTTCCTTGTCAGTCCTTATCACTTCTAGCAGTCCTGCATCCACCTCTATCAGTCTTGTTGAGTGTCAAATTTCAGTGTCACTCCTTTCTGTCTCCACTCTCCAGTCTTTTTTTCCCACTATCTACCTTAGAAATTTTAAAGTATATTGGTTTTTACAATACTTTAATGCGTGTTAAGCTTCTCTCTTTTTTTTTTCTATCTTGATCTCTTTATATTTGTTCTGTAATCTTTAATGGTTTCCTCCTGTGTGCAAGACCACGTTAACAGAATATGCTCTAAAGCTAGATAAGGCAAATCGTGAATTCAGGGAGGCTTTTGTGCAAGTTGAGAAAATCCTCTACAGGCAGCTTTGGCAAGATTTTACATGTGGCCTGAATGACCTCATTCATGGAAATGTTTGAAGTGATAAATGCCACAAAGCGAAAACCCTGGCCCAGTCATCACCAACATTCTTAATTTTCAACATAGTATGCAAAATGTTTCTATGTGTAGATTACTTTTACTTTTGTCTTTCCTATTTGAATTAAAAATGGTAATTACATTTATTTTCATATTTGAAATTGAGAAATAAAGTAAAAAAAAAAAACTGTAGTGAGAAGAGTATGTTTGTATTTCAGGATTCAACATTTCTAACAAAAACTGTACCTTAAAATCATGTAGGGAATATTAAATCAAGCAAAACAATATCACCCAGCTGTATTTATAAAGTTGTTCATGTGAGTTTAAAAAACAAAAAACACCTCCATTTCTCCAAACAGCTCTGTCAACAGCTGTACAATTTCTTATTCGTTTGAGTCATGGCGACCACACACTTGCTTAGGTAACCAGACCTTAGATCAGTTTTTTTTTTGGTTCTGAAGACATTTTGGCTATTCTTTAGCACTGATTTATCTATTCAGATAACAAAATTGTCTCAAAAACGAAATCAGCAACTCTTCAGTTCTGTACATTAAAGATATTTCTTTCTTAAAATATAACATTTTTTTTTATTTAAATCTCATGGTGGATAAGTTTTAAATCCGTTTTGATATTCTATTTTCTGCAGATTCACATTTACTTGACTCCTCTACCAATAAAGCATAATTAGTGCTGTTGTAGGCCTGGTGAGTAATGGTTTGGTCACATGAAAGACAGGACCCTTTTTTCTACTCTGTTGGCTTTAATGCTACACAGGTTGTTTTGAGAGATATCTAAATGTGGACCGGAATGAAAATAACAAGGCAGCCCATCAGTCCATAAAAGTTATGTGATGTGATTTGTAGAGAAACAAACACAACAACATCCATGCACTGCCCCTCAAGCGACGACAGTAAAAAAAGGAGAGCCAGAAGAGGTTGTGTCCAAGATGTCATTGAAACAAACATGCAACAAGAGGCTCAAGTGCATAATGACCTAAAAATAATCAAATTTGGTTTAAAGAAAGAATTGGTTCTTAGAGGTATTGCACCACTGACAATGAAACTAAAATCCCTAATGTTCATTGTTTCATCAGTGTAATAAGTTAATATTTTAGGTGGAATCTTTAGCAGCCATGTTTCTTGTCCATCCACCCATTTTGGGAGTTCTGCATGATCAGAACTCCCAAGGGAATTTCAGGGAGCGTATCCCTCCAAGAAAATGGTTGTTGACACTGTGTATTTCCATTGTCTGTCTGATGTGAGAAGTACATTAAAGCACAATCTGATATAGAAGCTAACAGGTTAAGACCACATTACAAACTTCAGTCCTACAGATAGGAAGACAAACCTTTTAAACTGTAAAATGCAAAAAAAAATTAATTTCAGTTTTAAAGGAAATGTCCGGTCACATTCAGAATACAAACTTCTGAAAGTACTTTAAGTATGAAATTATTACATACTTTTCAGTAAACAATAAGTGTTTTTAATTAGGAGTAATTTCATCTGAATGTGCTCTACATCCATGTTTGTCAAAGAACACTACTGACACCTACCGGTTTGTGACGTTACGGTGCGAGATCGGCTGTTGAGCAAGTCTGCTGTATCTGGTGTTTGTCACAACGCGCTATTATCCATGATGGTGATGACCAGTGCACTATGTGAATCAGAGAGTAATGGGTTTATGACATGTTTTTCTCTGGCCAGAAGTTCAATGGCAAATCCTCCCTCTTCAGGTTGGCAATCCAACGATGAACTGGAAAGGTGAAATAACTCTTTTTTCTTTTTATTTCACTTTTACCCGATATATTACAACATCCAGCTGCAATGCATGTGTGCATTGTCAGTTAAACTATAGCTCTCACAAAATTCAATGGTGAAGTCCTCTGGAAATCTTAAGTAATTGTTGTTGATTGCAGATGTGTCTAGTAGTTCCCATTGATTTTGCTTGTAAAACGGGGAAAATGGCGCTAGGCTTACCGCACTGTGACATCAATGATGGAAGATGTCAGGAGTGAGGTGTTACTATGTTTGAGCAAACATGGCCTTTCCCAGACTCAGTGATCGCAACGAAAATTATTGTTTTTATTTTTTTAACTGATTAACATTAAATTAATCAAATCCCTGCAAACATATTAGTTTTAGATATAAATATTGACCCATTGATTATTTGTTGCTGACTGGACTTTTCCTTTAAAAAATANAAAAAAAAAACTGTAGTGAGAAGAGTATGTTTGTATTTCAGGATTCAACATTTCTAACAAAAACTGTACCTTAAAATCATGTAGGGAATATTAAATCAAGCAAAACAATATCACCCAGCTGTATTTATAAAGTTGTTCATGTGAGTTTAAAAAACAAAAAACACCTCCATTTCTCCAAACAGCTCTGTCAACAGCTGTACAATTTCTTATTCGTTTGAGTCATGGCGACCACACACTTGCTTAGGTAACCAGACCTTAGATCAGTTTTTTTTTTGGTTCTGAAGACATTTTGGCTATTCTTTAGCACTGATTTATCTATTCAGATAACAAAATTGTCTCAAAAACGAAATCAGCAACTCTTCAGTTCTGTACATTAAAGATATTTCTTTCTTAAAATATAACATTTTTTTTTATTTAAATCTCATGGTGGATAAGTTTTAAATCCGTTTTGATATTCTATTTTCTGCAGATTCACATTTACTTGACTCCTCTACCAATAAAGCATAATTAGTGCTGTTGTAGGCCTGGTGAGTAATGGTTTGGTCACATGAAAGACAGGACCCTTTTTTCTACTCTGTTGGCTTTAATGCTACTCAGGTTGTTTTGAGAGACATCTACATGTGGACCGGAATGAAAATAACAAGGCAGCCCATCAGTCCATAAAAGTTATGTGATGTGATTTGTAGAGAAACAAACACAACAACATCCATGCACTGCCCCTCAAGCGACGACAGTAAAAAAAGGAGAGCCAGAAGAGGTTGTGTCCAAGATGTCATTGAAACAAACATGCAACAAGAGGCTCAAGTGCATAATGACCTAAAAATAATCAAATTTGGTTTAAAGAAAGAATTGGTTCTTAGAGGTATTGCACCACTGACAATGAAACTAAAATCCCTAATGTTCATTGTTTCATCAGTGTAATAAGTTAATATTTTAGGTGGAATCTTTAGCAGCCATGTTTCTTGTCCATCCACCCATTTTGGGAGTTCTGCATGATCAGAACTCCCAAGGGAATTTCAGGGAGCGTATCCCTCCAAGAAAATGGTTGTTGACACTGTGTATTTCCATTGTCTGTCTGATGTGAGAAGTACATTAAAGCACAATCTGATATAGAAGCTAACAGGTTAAGACCACATTACAAACTTCAGTCCTACAGATAGGAAGACAAACCTTTTAAACTGTAAAATGCAAAAAAAAATTAATTTCAGTTTTAAAGGAAATGTCCGGTCACATTCAGAATACAAACTTCTGAAAGTACTTTAAGTATGAAATTATTACATACTTTTCAGTAAACAATAAGTGTTTTTAATTAGGAGTAATTTCATCTGAATGTGCTCTACATCCATGTTTGTCAAAGAACACTACTGACACCTACCGGTTTGTGACGTTACGGTGCGAGATCGGCTGTTGAGCAAGTCTGCTGTATCTGGTGTTTGTCACAACGCGCTATTATCCATGATGGTGATGACCAGTGCACTATGTGAATCAGAGAGTAATGGGTTTATGACATGTTTTTCTCTGGCCAGAAGTTCAATGGCAAATCCTCCCTCTTCAGGTTGGCAATCCAACGATGAACTGGAAAGGTGAAATAACTCTTTTTTCTTTTTATTTCACTTTTACCCGATATATTACAACATCCAGCTGCAATGCATGTGTGCATTGTCAGTTAAACTATAGCTCTCACAAAATTCAATGGTGAAGTCCTCTGGAAATCTTAAGTAATTGTTGTTGATTGCAGATGTGTCTAGTAGTTCCCATTGATTTTGCTTGTAAAACGGGGAAAATGGCGCTAGGCTTACCGCACTGTGACATCAATGATGGAAGATGTCAGGAGTGAGGTGTTACTATGTTTGAGCAAACATGGCCTTTCCCAGACTCAGTGATCGCAACGAAAATTATTGTTTTTATTTTTTTAACTGATTAACATTAAATTAATCAAATCCCTGCAAACATATTAGTTTTAGATATAAATATTGACCCATTGATTATTTGTTGCTGACTGGACTTTTCCTTTAAAAAATATTTCTTTCAAATTAGTATTAATTCAGTTTTTTGAGAAACTATATTTTGAGTTTCATTAGGTTAAATAGGGTGTTGTGTGTTCAGAATACATTTATTTATAAGAATCGGGTTCTATTTTCCTATCAATTACAGAAATGACTGTACCATATCATTAAAGATTACTAAGATGGCAGAGAGTTATATAAAACACTTACTTTAGATCCTGAAATGGTTCTGCCCGTACGTGTGAAGTCTCAACAGAATGGCTAAACACTACTCCTTCGTCTCCTGTAAAAAGGGAAAAACAATCAAATAAAACAAAACAAAAAAGTAATTTTAACATTAACTACTTTGTAATCATAAAAATTACTTGCAATATTTGCTTATAATTTAAACTAATTTTCATGGATTAAACAATCACTGATGGCGCAGAGCAAAATTTGTTAATGGGGTAGTTAACAAGAAAACCGTAAACAAGATACATCGAATATAATGAAAAGAAAGGAAATAAAATGCGTAAATATACCTCAAAGATAACATCATTGCATCATGATTACATGAATTGCACTGCATAAAGCAAACATAAAGTAGCTGCATCTTCGAAAAAGGCAGCAGCTAGAAAACTAAAACTAAGAGCAGATCATTTTCACTAAGTCTGAATGTCTACTCGAGCAGAGCAGAGGTCCATCAGAATTAAACAGCCTGGGTAGACACTGCATCTCTGCTGGTTCTACCCCTGATGCTGCTTAGCCTCCTGCCTGAGGGGAAAGAGGCAAACACTGTGTGTGCAGGTGTGTGGGATCTCTGCATTAATGGTAAACCATCACCCTGTGTTTGCTGAGTGTGAAGATACGAAAAATAGGATAAGGCAAGTATTCCAGCTAATTTAAAAATCTTGTTTTTATAAATTTTTGTTAGTAAGCAGATGCTGAATTATCTGCTGTTTTAAATTTTAAAGGAAATGCTAAAAGTAATTGGTTAACATGCTTTAATTAGGCTGAGACTGCATTATCCTTCTTCCAACACACGCCTTTTTCCATGGAAGGAATAAGGTTGCCTCTGATATAAAGACGTGCTTAGCCCCCTGTGTCCAGCAGCCACCTCTGCAGCTGTGAACAGATGTTTGGCAGTAGCTCTTGCTGAGACGATAGAGGGTATAGTGAAAGCTCAGCACCGCGGCAAATTTAATACTGCATGAGGCAAAGTCACTGGTGGGCTCACAGATAACAAGACGGCTGACTCGGTGTTTGAAAATGAAGCAGACAAGTATCTTTTGAAAGAAATTCAGAAAACTGATCCAAAACTCAAGTCTTTGCAAATTAGAAAAATTAAAGGGAAATGTTTTACTGTTGGGGACCTACTGTATATACAGTAATGCTCTTCGTCTTGCCAACAACAATTTGACTTTCGTTTTCCAGCTTCTTGTGGGGATTTTGATGCTTCTCTTTTGTGTACATGAAATGTTAATGAGTTTCTCACCCTCGGTTTGATGGCACCTTTCCCAATTCAGAATACCCATGGAGGGTTTTCAAAGCACAGTCACTGACCTGAAACATGCAGGCCCTCTATGAAACTCACATAAAATTCTGTGGTACTGTCACTTATTTTGAAATGTGAAAAATACCAGCATATATAAACAATGTCAGTCTTCTCTTTCTCTGTCACTTAGTGAAGGACAAAAAGCATTCACCTCATCCCTAAAACTTTGCCCTCATTCTTTCAGAGTGCCTCTAATGGACGAATCTTCCAAATTGCCTTCAGCTCTATGTAAATATCGGATTTAGCAAGTTAACCTTCAGACTTCAGTTCATGGGGTTTGTGTGATCACACAGCCTACATATCTATCACAAACATTACGACCAAAATGATTATAATGTGATTATTTTCTATTTTTTCATATATATCATTCATAGCAGTAGATTGGCTTTTTCAACATATTAAGGAACATTTATTTTGCTCATTTTGAGGCAATCTTAAACATTGAAGCTGTGTTTATTTATTACAACGGATCTGGAGTTTCTTTATGGCCAATTGTGTTGCACATCTTACATCCACAGGATGTAGCATTGTGTAGAGACAGATCTGGATGAGGACAGGGACTGTCTACAGTTCAGTTATTGAGTAGTTTAATAGTAAAATATTTTTAGTCATTCTAATATTAAACAAATATTCAGAATTGGTGGCATTCATAATTTGATGCAGAAAAAAAGGAAAGATTGAGTAACTAACTGAAAAGGCTTTTTAGAAACTTTAATGCTCTAATTTAAGCCAATAAATGTCTCAACACCCGATAGTCAGTGATTCCTTTTGCAGATGAGCATCCGTTTCAGTGCAACTGGGCATTGGTGACGTACCCAAAACAATCAGGCTTGTGTTAAATGATAAAACAATATTTTCTTCCTAGGAATTTGTACCTGGAAGACTCACATACCCAAGGAACCATAACATACAATACATTTTTTTTCAAATTGTGTGGATTTAGGTTTACATGCAGATAAGTCATTGCGATAAATGCCCGATCAAACATCTAATGTAAACATTCCTGTCAGAGTATTTTCATTGGATATGGTGGGATCTAAATTACATAG